AACTTAAACAAAGAGACCCTCCAGAAGAGTTGCAGGAGATTCCGAAGTCATCTGGAGGCTGTGGTTGAAGGCAATGATGAATTTATTGAATAAATTTACTATTTCGAATTTCTTGATATTTTTTTATAATTTTGGTAAATATATCTGTAAAAATGAGATATCAGTGTTATTTTCATTTTTGTTAATTTAGACGACAATTTATCCTTCGCAACCTATATATGAATATATATATTATTCAAAAAGTGAGCACAAATACTTATTAATTAAAAAAATAGTAATTAATCTATAATATTATGCATAAATACATGTACAAGAATGTTTTTGATACAAGTTAAAAAATAAGCATAAATACGTAAAATGATTATCTTGTCAAAAATTCCTTTTTTCACAATATAGCTATTTTGCGTCATGCTTTTATAATTATTACCTAAACAATAATAATACTGAATATTTTTTAAAAACCGTAAAATATAATATTTAATCACATCTCCCTAATAGTTGTCGCGATCTCTGAATAAATTTACTCTTTAGTATTCGAAGATATTTTTGTGTAAATTTGGTAGCGATATCTTTCAAAATGAGACGTCAGCGTTACTTTCATTTTCGCCTCATTTAGGCGACAATTTATCCATCGCACCCTGTACATCTGTTAAAATGAGACGTCAGTGTTATTTTCATTCTTGCCTCATTTAGGCGACAATTTATCCATCGCACCCCGTATGTATTAAAATGAGGTCGGTTACTTTCATTTTCGCCTCATTTGGACGACAATTTATCCACCGCACCCTGTATATCTGTTAAAATGAGGTCAGTTTTAGATTCATTTTTTGCCTCATTTAGACGACAATTTATCCATCGCACCATTCATATCTGTTTTCATTTTTAAGTAATTTCGGCGTTCATCGAACCCTTCATGTCGGCAAGAACAGTCCTGCACATTTGTGACTGATCGGTTTGATTGATTTTGTTTAGTGACATCTAAATATTATGAATGTCACTGTATGCTTTCAACTACAGATAAAACGTCGTGGTGCAGGCAAACGAGCATTTCTCCAATCAGAAATGTCCTATGTTACCCTGTATGAAAGAGCGTTCGAATATAGAATACTAATAGAGAGGGAGAAGAAGAGAAAAAAAACATTAAAAAAGTGCGTCAGCATGAATCCTCTTGGTTAGGGACCTATGTCAGACTAATGGGGATTTCCTTTACAATTTCTTTTTCTTGCTCAACAAGTACACAGCGTGGAATTGCTTACTTAAGGGAGGAATTGAAAATATCTCAAGATTATAAATTTATCACCCAATACAAGGCCCAAGAGTTACTCAAGGTAGAGGATTACTCTGTGGTGATGTATGATTGCAAGGAAGGATAACAATTAAAGTTCATGGGGATATGCTGCTGCTATATATGGTCAGAAGCCCCCGCTAGTCCTCTTAGGGTCCTCAACAAAATCCAGACACGGATATGCAATGTGATTGGCCCTGATCTGGCATCTCGTTTACAGTCGCTCTCTCACAGGCGTACAGTCACTTCCCTCTGACTTTTCTACAAATGCTTTCACGATAAATGCTCCGACGAGCTACTTTCGCTGGTTCGCAAACTGCAGGAATTTAAGTGTGCTACTAGGCTGGCATCTCGGCCCCACGCTTTCAATGTCGAAACGGTTAAATGAAGCCGTCTCTTCTACTGCCATAGCTTCATGCGTCGCACATCCCGTCTGTAGAACTCCCTTCCCCTTACTTGCTTCCCTGATAACTATAATCTCCAACTATTCAAATCCAATGTCAATCGACATCTCCAGATGCCTTGATCTAATTCCCCGTTCTTCTTTTCATCCTTTCCTCTATCACGCCTCTTTACTCTTGCTCTTGGTGTCCTAGTGACACTCTCGTCTTGCTTAGGGGAAATGGAAATATATATATATATATATATATATATATATATATATATATATATATATTTAAAGATATTTTGTAGGTACAAAATTTAATGATCGAAATAAAAGTATAAAAATTTAATATTACAAGAAAATATTAAAGAATAAAAATAATATATAAAAATATATATATATATATAACGCGGGGTATATTAGCAACCAGTTTGTTTTAATTTTGAGCTTCCAAGGAATTCTGAAGAGCGGGAACGAAACCGGTTACTTCCCAAGTTGTTGTGTTATTTTTTTAATTATTTTTTATTGTTTAATATATCTTGTAATATTAAATTTTATACATTTTATTTTTTATTTATATATATATATATATATATGCAAGCAAGATAACGGGTAATCCTAGATTTGTACAAGTCAAGATTGTTGAGATTGGGTTGGACAGTTTTGTTTAGCAGTATATGAACTGTAGATATTTATCTAAATATTTTGTACGCAATTTTTATGACTATAACTGCATATATTTTATAAACGTATATAATCTTAGATATATACCATATTTGCGGCATATAAACGCACGGGTGTATAAGACGCACCCCAATTTCAGCAGCGAAAAAAATCGTAATTAGTAAAATTATTAGTAAATGGTACAGTCTAGGCTATATTTATGAGGTATTATTTTGGATAAACAAGCCATGAATACAATTAAAAAAATAATAGGAAAAAAAGAACAGCCTATAAAAACTTTATTAAATCCAAAGGTAAGAAAACAAAATAAAAATCAAGCAATTATTATAATTGGGCAAAACAGTACAGGTACCCTAAACAATTTTATTCTTCTTCAAATCCATAAAATACTTCGTCTTCTTTGTCAATACTCTGATACTCATTTTCAAAACTACTATCATCGTCGTTAAATAATGCATCATCTTCCGTTTCATTAAAAGCATTGCTTATGCCACACTTTTTAAAAAGATTTCACAACGATTTCTGGTCTAATATTATCCCAAGCTTGATTCACCTATTCGCAGAATTGTGCAATGCTGGGTCTTTTTATTCTTCCTGTAAGTGTAAGGTCGTGATCAGGCATTGCAATCCACGTGTTCCATTGCTTCTTCATGTTTAAGTCTAAGCTAATAGTTGTCAGGTAGCAAATTTCGGCAGACTATCGCGAATTTTAAAACTACATATGGCATAAAAGACGCAGGGGGATTTTAAATGATATTTTTAGTAAATAAAACTGCGCCGTATATGCCGTCAAATACGGTAGTTTATAGATAAAAAATATTGTTGTTATTTTGTTTTTATTGATGTCGGTAATTTTACTAAAAATCTATTTTTATACTTTTTAGTGTTATACTAATTAATTTTACTATAAAATGTATTATTGGTAATATTTAAAAACTATATATTGTTTTTAATTTTACTATAAAAATCTATTGATGGTAATTTTGCTATAAATAGGTGTTGTTCGTATTTCTACAGTAAAAAACAAGTTTAGATATTTTACTATAAAAATAACCAATGGAATATACACTTGCGAATATCAGGTGCTGTAAACTTGGATGTGTGGGTGACATGGCATACAGAGATATAAAGGTGAAACAATAGTTCTCGTAGGATCATTAAAGTTAAGCAACGTCGAGCCTGGTCAATACTAAGATGGGTAACCACTTCGGAATATCAGGTACTGTAAGCTTTGATGTATGGGCGGCATGGTTTACAACCATATCACGCAGAAACAACGGTTCTCGTAGGATCATCGAAGTTAAGCAACGTCGGGCCTGTTCAGTACCTAGATGGGTGTCCACTTGCGAATATCAGGAGCTATAAGATTAGATGTACGCATGACATGTCTTACAGCCATATTATGTTGAAGCAATAGTTCTCGTATGATCACCGAAGTTAAGCAATGTCAAGCCTGCTCAGTACCTAGATGGGTAACCGCTTCGGAATACCAGGTGCTGTAAGCTTGAATGTGTGGGTGGCATTGTTTACAGCCATATCCCGCCGAAACAATGGTTTTCGTACCATCAACGAAGTTAAGCAACGTCGAGCCTGGTCAATACCTAGATGGGTAACCACTTTGGAATACTGGGTGTTGTAAGCTTGGATGTGCGCGTGGTCTAATGGATAATAACTCGGAATTCTTAATCGGAGTGGCAAGTTCTAATTCCCGTTAGATTCGTTATATTCACCCTTGGGAAAGGCATGGATCTACCCATTCTGTCCCCACCTATGGGTTAATTAGTAAGATTTGTATCGTTAAATCATTATGATCTGAAAACCAAAAAAAATCTTATAATCAAAAAACTATTTTCTGGCTTTAAATAACCGACAAAGTAAACGAATCTATCAATCAATCGATAATGATTTTTACCTCTTGCCAGTGAGTATATATTCTAGTTTCTTTACAATTGATGTTTAATCCTTTCTCCTTTACAAACTTATTTAGGGATTTCTGCAGATTTCTTGCTGTGTCCGCTATCATCATAGTGTCATCTGTGTATCGTGGATGGTTATCAATCATCTTAGCAGCAGAAATTAGTGTTCATAAAACATACTTGACGGAAAATAAAACGTACACAAAATAGCAGGAAGGAGCATGGCAAATTGTATATTAACTTCATACAATTTATATTTTTGTGTGTGTTGTTTTATGGTACGTGTGATAAAACGAAAAAAAATACTCAGTAGTACTGCAAACCATATCACAGAGAAAAATCGGATACGTGTTGCCCGTACCAAGGTTCCTGGTGAAGAGATTGAATTTATCGTCTTTTGGCGGGATGCCCGTATTTCCAGCCTGAACAGTTTTTGTTACTTTCTGGGAGGTTTTTTTTTTTTATTTTATTTTATACAACGTTTTTATTTTATTGTTTTATTTTATTTATAATTTCCATTATTATTATTATTATTATTATTATTATTCACATTTTGTTTTTACTTATTTATAATAATAATAATAATAATAACAACAACAACAACAGCAACAACAATAATAATAATAATAATAATAATATTCCTACAGGATCTTATGTAGGATTTCCTGTTGTCTTAGAATCATCTCATTGTAACGGTGGAATTAATCCGGTGAGGAGACACATTCCTTTTAGAAATCTCTTTCTGTTTCCGTTTATTTGCTCAATCAATTTACCATCCGTCGGCTGGCGGTTTGTTCCCAGTAAGTGTTCCGGATTATTCTAATATCTTTCCTAAATAAATCAAGTAGAAAGCGATTCGATGAAAGAAAGAAAAAAAAGAAAGAAAGAAAGAAAGAAAGACACATGTAATAATCGACTTCATCGGGCACTATTTCATGGTTCCTAAATCAAGTAAATTTCTTTAAAGAGCGTGTGTAACCCACAGAGTGGTCCGAAAGTCTTGTCACCCCTACCAAAAATAGTAATGAGAAAACTAAAACATAAGCAAAGCATTGAATCACGTGGCTTGCAGTTTACCATAGAATGTTCTTCTTATTAACCAGAATTAACCAAAACCATTCTAATAATAATTTTCTGGACTGTTGATTAATTGCTTTGTCTTAATTGTTAGCGTAAGTAACTGTATGACACGGTGATGTCATGGATAGGGGCTCGGATTGAGGAATCGGAGTGCCGAGTTCGAATTCCAGTCAAATCAATTACATTCACTTACGTGTTAATAACCTTGGGAAATCTATGAATCCATGGGTAAATAGCAGGACAGACGGGGTTCTATAGCCTTGGATGGCAACTGGCCCACGCAGAAACAAATAAAAAAAATCTTCCTCGGCACACCAGAAAAGTCACTATACAGTCATATATATATATATATATATATATATATATATATATATATATATATGTGTGTGTGTGTGTGTGTGTGTATATTTTGAACAATAAAAAATATTAAAATTTTAAAAACCTTGGGAAATCTATGAATCCATGGGTAAATAGCAGGACAGACCGGGTTCTATAGACTTGGATGGCAACTGGCCCACGCAGAAAGAAACCAGAAAAGTCACTATACAGTCATATATATATATATATATATATATATATATATATATATATATATATATATATATATATATATGTGTGTGTATATTTTGAACAATAAAAATATTAAAAATTTTAAAAACCTTGGGAAATCTATGAATCCATGGGTAAATAGCAGGACAGACCGGGTTCTATAGCCTTGATGGCAACTGGCCCACGCAGAAACAAATGAAAAAAATCTTCCTCGGCACACCAGAAAAGTCACTATACAGTCATATATATATATATATATATATATATATATATATATATATATATATATATATATATATGTGTGTGTGTGTGTATATTTTGAACAATAAAAAATATTAAAATTTTAAAATCTTCAGACACACTGGGTTGTAGATTAATATTTTTTTAATCATTATTTCATTTAGATTCCTCGAATAGTTTCGGCCAAAATGGCCATCGTCAGGAGAAGAAATATTTCTACTTTCTGGTAGCAGTGAACTACAGAAAATGTATCCCCCTATATATATATATATATATATATATATATATATATATGGTGGCAATAAAGTTGAATATACAGTGGCTTCTAAAAAAGCAAAGCATTTAAACAGGTGTCTTGCAGCTTGAATTGTATTGGTAATTTATTTACTATTGATTACTATAACCAAAACTATTTTAATAATAAATCTCTGGACTGTTCATTATTTTTTTATCTTAATTGTTATTGTAAGTAACTGTATAGCGATATTGTTACCATCCTGAATATGTATATATGTATGCCCACACACGTACATGTGTGGGCATACATATATAAGCCATTTCAACAATATAAATAAAAGAAATCAGACATCTCTATCTAAATATTTTTGGCATTTGAAGGAAATAAATAGGACACCAAAAGTAAAATGGGAAATTATAAACAGGACTAGAACTTGTAAAACTTGGGATGACCCATGCCCTTTGTGCCTCCATGAGAAACTACACATTATTAAGTTTCTAAATAATAAAAATCTATTAAACAATAGACATGAGTTAACGGTTTTTTGCCGACATCATCAAATTTTTGCATTGAATAATTAGTTAAAAAACAAACACAATAAGATAATTTTTATAATCCATAGCCCTAATAAATAGTTTAAATACCCTACAAAAATGAAGTCGTCAAAAAACAAATGTTACGGCAGTTTTTTTATATACACAAAACCCTTTCAGAAAGAAATAAAATAAAAAAATAAATAAATCTCCATAGACACGTAAACCAGACTAGGCGAAAACATCTTCCGTTTTAAATTTAGACACCCCCACCTTACCCTGATTTGACATCTATGAATGTAACTCTATACTGATACAAATTATTAACACGCAACACCCCTTCCTATTTAAACAATCGCTCTGGCCGTTACCATGGAAATTTTGATTTCAATAATGAATATGCTATTAAAACACGTAAATTTCAGAAATAAGTTATTCCAAAAAAATTTCGCTTGAAGATGGAACAGAGCTTACTTTAATTCAAGTTAATTCAAATAATTATATTGAAGATTTCGGCTCTTGTTTTGAAACATGAGACCTCTTATGTAGCGTGTTGGAATCATATTTTTAAATAAATAATTATATTTATGCTCTACTTTTGTATCGAGCACTATTTTTTTTAAAATAATAACAAAAATACTAAATAACTTTGGATTATTTACCTAACAAGTTCTTTCGTATTTTCTATATATTTTCATATATATGTATATATATATATATATATATATATATATATATATATATATATATATATATTCAATCCTTTTCAAAGCTTTTTAATTGTAGCATTTTATTTTAGTATTTTGCTATAAAACTTTCCTGCTACAAACATTTAAAAACTTTGTTTCTCTACTCGTAGTTATTTATTTCTGGCCGCAATTCTCTTATATAAACGCCTTCCAGAAATTAAATTTTTCCTTATTATTATCTTGATGGAGTATTGATGTGTTTTTGACTAATCTCTGCCTAAACTGCGATTGAACTATGATTGTATATGTGAAACGTAAGCCTTCTTGACATTGTCGTTGTTGTAAAACCCTCTCAGTGTATATGTGTGTGTACAGATGAGTTCACTGATTCCTCGTAGTGAGACAATGTGTATGTATGGGGAGGGGATATACACATATATGCACGCATGCTGACAGAAGCACACGAAAATGGAAATAGATCTAAGAACACACAGGGGTCATTAAAAGATATGAATGCCGATAACAATGAAAAATAAAGCATAATATTGTTTTTAAAAAAATCCATATTGCAACCAAAAACGTTTAGGTTTCTCACTTCTTTTTAATATATATATATATATATGTACGCAATATATTATGGCAGTACAACGCCTGTACTTTTTATAAGAAATATTTACAATAATTATTAAGTAAGTTGTTACAGTTGTTAGAGCGTCAACTCGCCTCCGGGCGTATGGGCAACCACATCAATTTAAAAATCACTTTAGTCTGATGAAAACATAAAAGTCAAAACGTGTTACACGAAAGTATTTTTTCCACTTTGTCATTGATTTTACTAACATTGTTTTAAAAATAAAAAAATCATATATCTCTTTCCCATACCATCTATCTATTTATCTGTGTATATATATATATATATATATATATATATATATATAGAGAGAGAGAGAGAGAGGGATAGGGAGAGAGAGAGTATTAATAGAAATAAAATTTGTCACTTAGCTGTGATATTATATGTAGCAACTTGTCTCTGAAGTTACGTAGGATAACCGTTTTATAATAATTCAGTTCACGCATCAGAATTTCAGTGACTGCCAAGGTAATTCTGTTCAGTGTTTTATTGTATTTTTCTTGTATATCAGAAAAGTTTCATCAGTATATTAATATAAGTGTTAGTTCCGAGGACTTTCGGTTAATCTGTTAGCCTTTTTAATTGATTTCTTTAACTGAGACCACACTCCACAAATCCTTGAAAATG